TATTCGGCCTTCACAATATTTTATTACCACGCAAGGTCGAGTATACCATATTCCGGTATATCCGACCTTTATAAATGTCTTATTGCCATGGTCGAGTGTACCATATTCTGGTATATTCGACCTTCGATATTTTTAATTACCAAGGTCGAGCATAGCATATTCCGATATATTCGACCATCACAATTTTATTATTACCAAGTTCGAGTATACCATATTCTGGTATGTTTGATCTTCGCTATTATTTATTACCAATGAGTTTATGCAAACTAATTGGATATTTCTGATTGTGCAAGTACGCAGGGACTTGTCGCAGTTATCTTGGGTCGTTCCGTTATCAGTGTCGTTTTTATACTAAAATAAGAATATTTTTTAGAATGCTGTTGCAATTGGGGCTGGAATGGTTGACGCTTTAGAGTAAGCGCTGCATTTTATTGTTCCTTTTTTCTCATGCATTGTTCCTTTTGTCTATTTAATCCTTGTTGACAATAAGTTAAATTAAATTAACCGCTCTCACTATTCTGTGCATGTGTGTATAAAAACATGAACCAGCCATGATTATCATATGTGTGTTTGTAATTTCAAATTTACCTCAACAAATTCGAGAAAAAACATTTATGTTTTTCAAAGTTGAGAAAATAGACGAAGAGAGAGCTTATAAACCTCAAAGCATCCAGGATTCAAAGAAATAGGGAAACAGTGTTTTACATGAGTCAGATCATTTCAGTGTAGGCCTTGAGAACTTGCACTAGTTTGCAAGGATGTTGTTTGCGCTCATATTTTATAGCGAATCATCGCTAAGAAGGGTTATTTTCGAAGTAGAAATCCATTCTGCAGTATTTATAATCCATTATATATATTTTGTTATTTTTATGAAACCCATGATGAATTTTATTTGACGAATTCTCTTAGTCCTTCCAGCCATTTCAGATCACCTGGATACTGAATGACTAAACTTTCTTTATATATAGCTGTGGGGCGAATACCAAAGCAGCAGTTATTCGACTTGGAATGGTCGAAATACTGTCATTTGTTGAGAAATTTTATGGCGATGTGAAAAAAGAAACGTTCTTCGAGTCTTGTGGTGTTGCCGATCTTATTGCCACGTGCTACGGGGGTCGAAACAGAAAATGTGCAGAACTCTTTGTAAGAACCGGAAAGGTAAATAAAGTAGATGTTATTTGTTCACATCAAGCCTACTTTCAACGCCAGTATAAGTAACCCTGGCTTATCCATGCAAACGTCATAAAATTTTCTAACTGCATGCTTGTGAATGATACATGTTTTCACATATGATATTTGCTCTATTTAAATGCAATTCTAAAAAATTCAATGTCACCCTTATGAATATTTGGTTCAATAGTTATTGCAATAGTGATAACATATCAATTTCTGTGTGCGTTTGTGTAGAGTTTTGAAGTTATTGAGAAGGAAATCTTAAATGGTCAGAAACTTCAAGGACCCCACACACTACACGAACTATATAGAATAATAAAAGATAACGGGTGGACAGAAAGGTATTGTATTAAGAATTTTGTTTTTTAAAGCATTTTAATCATCATCATTTTCGTATACATGCACAAAAACGCACACGTTGACATTGTAACAAGTCTGCAAAAAAGCTATGTACTAGTCTGTTCACAAGCTTGTAACTAGATTTTTCGCAATGCTCGCTCCAATTAAATTGTTGCAGCAAGTCGATGGCATCATACAGTACTTGTTCCAAGATATAAACACAACAAGCTTGGGAGCACAAGATTGTAGCAATATTAGGTCATGTTTGTACCAGACCTTGTAACAATTAAATTCAACAAGTTTGTTACAACTTGGTAACAAGTTGTCCCATATTTGTCGACAGCTCGGGACAAGCAGTGCGAACACAAGGGTAATGTTATATATGCATGCATTGTGAAGCTGTATGTCTAGTCACACGTCATGCTCGGCAAACAACAAATTTATTCTAAAACTCTATGTTTTGCTTGTTTCAGCTTTCCGTTATTTACAGCAATATCTAAAGTTGTATACGAGGGCTACCCGCCGCCATCACTAATTGAAATGCTAAAGGATCATTTTTAATGTCTGCTGCGGCAGAATAATCTAGTTGTAACCATGTTTTACAATGAATATGTTAAAAATATTTTTCTATTTAATGTTATAAAACCGAGCAATCAGATGCTCTTAGAGCATTTATCATTATTAACCACGTTTTGCCTGTTATGTACCGATGCATGTTTTAAATCCGAACAAATAAAATCGGACTCTTAAACTTTTTCGAAAAAGATACATAGCATCAAATTGGATGAATTGACGAAACAAGAATATACTTAGAGGGGTAGTGGAGTTCAAGAAAGTACAGTAGGAGTGCCAAAGAGATAAAATAAAGCTTTAAATTTAAAAGGTTTCAGCAAAAAGGATATTGCAATATTGAGCCATTTAGATCCTCTGACCTCCAGCAAGTTTTTAGTAAGTGTCCGTTCTTGCTGTTTTGGAGAGGGGTGGAAACAGTGTTCCGCTAGAAAACGTACTTTTGCCAAACTCGCCCCTAGATCTTTTCAAGCCCTATTTATCTACAGAGAACACCCTGGCCTGGGTACGAGCTTGGACAAAGACAGTTTTCCACTAATAATCAAGGTCAGTGGGAATTTTGTGTAAATACAATGTGATTATAAATTTAAAAAGTAAGAATTGGACTAATGAGCCTGGGCAATTCTTTACTGCTTAATTATAAAAAGGGTGTAATTAGGTATTTGCTTGACGTTATGACGCCACGCTAACGACGCAATGCACGAAACCAGGCCCATTTCAATACGATTCAGTATAGAGGCACACAACACAAAATTTAAAGTTTGTAAGATTATATTTTCGAAAAAACATTTGACGGACATGATGCAAAAGTGTGAAAACGCGATGTCATTAGCAAGAAAATGTTCACGAAGTTTGATGTGTTAAAACACTCCCTATTTTGTTCCATATTTTCCTTTAAGTTCTTCGACTTTTGCTATGTACGTCTTCTCTGCATCATCTGGGTTTGTTCCTGTCACAAAAACGAGTGCACTTCAATGAATATGAAAAACTAGGGACAGTGTAAAATTGTGCGCACTTTGCTCAAAGAAAGCCGTTGTGAAAAATAGGTACGCATTGTGTACTGACGAACACTTGACGACTTTTTTCGGATTCATTTTGGGAAAAATGACTTGAGTTTAAGTGTAAAAATTATGCATGCATATTACACAATATGCTTGAACAATACACAATATTTTTTTCTATTTTGATTCTCTCTCAAGAGCTTGTAAGTACATATATAATCAATGTTCAGCACCTTAAACTCGTCACATGTACAGTATTTATACATTACACAAATTAACATCAAATCCAACTTGGCAAAAATTTCAAACAAAAATGCTGACCTTTTAATGCATTCCATGCATCCCATTTTGCTTTTCCAGTAAAATCAAGGAACCCAGGTCTTTCTAGAAAGCAAAATATACCAGTTTGTGTTATACCAGTTGCCAGATTTATTAATAATAGAAGTAGAGGGTAATATTACAATGATCATTGCCATTGTTGAAATGAAGTCACTTGGGCTGGGAGTCATATCCAAAGAGTTGGGATTCACAAATCATGACATACATACAAGTAACATTCACATACCAGTGTTACAATCTCCTACTGTCACTTGCTTATAATTAGCATACATATCTAGCATTTCTTGATCTGTAGGTTTTTGGACTAAAGTTTTTGCTTCACTGGCAGCTTTCTGAAATGCCTGAAATAGAATATCTATTTGATAAGCATTAATCAATTGTATTATCTGGCCTCATATTTTTAATACATGTTGATGTACATATTGTCAACCTTCATGACATAAATTTTATTTTCTGCAGGCCGAGTTTTATACTTAAGATCTAAATGTTATACAACTAGCATACTGTTTTTTTAGCAAAGATATATAGTGATATGCTAATGTTCAAGAAATTAAGAGCACAAATTAAGGGACACATCCAAGGGGGGTAAGACATCTGATGAGCAAGATTCATCTTGGTTTGGACTTTGTACATAAGTAATGGAATAGAAGATGAATATGGCTATATCATTTGCCAGAAAATTTTGATCGCAGTAACAGATCCCAAGCTATAGCTTGCCTTAACTAACACCACAGCATGCAGCAAAATTGTGACAATCCACTGATTATAATAATGATTGTGTGCGTTCTTTTTTTACAGTGATTGCACAATATGAATACTTTATATAAACGATGTTCTGCATTTATGCAATACATTACCTCTGATCCCTGTGACATTATGCTTACTCCTATGTATCCTTGTGAAACTAAATTTAAATATTTGAGTACTTCTACCCCAAGGACCAGGAGAGCTTTTTCACTTATAAATTTTGGCCAATTTACTAAACAAAATGCCCTGGGAACGAAGTTGTCCAATATAATGTGACCGCGGTGAGCGTGACCACGAGGTGTGACGAGTGTGTAAGATTTGCAAATTGCGCAATCAGTTCCACTGACCTACAAGTGGGTGTAACTGGTGTAACCCACTAAAGTGTGACAAGATTTTAGCAATAAGCCAATTACAAAAAATTACAATGAGAGTTAAAAAATTACCACTAAGAATTTTGCTGACCGACCTCGTGCGGCTCCTAGTGCCTAGTACCCGACCAAGTGCAACCTCGCAAGCCAGGCTCTTTTACCTACGCTCCACGGCCCACGCTGCGGCAAAGATTTAAAAAGTAAAAATTGGACTAACGCTGTCTTTGCCGCAGCGTGGCCGTGGAACGTAGGTAAAAGAGCCTGGCTTGCGAGGTTGGACTAAGCGAGGCTAGTGAGCCTAAATTAAAAATTTCCTGATGTTTTATAGAGCGCCGACCGTGCACTTTAACATAGAACCAGTTAGACGAAATACGATTTTTTATAGCCTGGAAAATGTCTAGGATTTTATTCTAGACGAAAGACCTAGTATTTGCGCCTAAAATGCAGGAAACCCATCTTCAAAATAGGCAATAGGATACATTTGTGAAAATTTTCAAATCCAGGCTAACAGCTATTAAAGAAATAATGGCGCTTTGTCAATTCGTCTGGTAGAGTATCAAATACCTGGTCATTATTCGAGTCATCAGTATTGTCGGATCACTGTGTCGGATTCATGAGTGTAATGAATGGATGTAATGATGCTGGATGTAATAAAGAATGCGGAATTTATGCGGTTGCGGAAAGTTAGGTAATCAAGTGGAAACAGATAGTTAGAGAATTGAGAGTGACTGAGAGGTTACAAAGTGTATTATAGTTTATAAATATTAGAATATTTATATTAGAATATTTAGAGTTTCATGTTCTTCCGTTCTTGTATATTCTTTGGTCATGGTTTGAATGACTTAAACTCCCTGGGAACCTTGCAATGTGAATAAGCTTTTCATGGGTAAACGTTTTTTAATGAGAATCAAAAGTAGTTGTGCTGTTGTAGCAATGAGGTGGTCGGAAGTTTACGTTGGTTGTGCATTTCAATGGTGAAAGTCTAAAAGATAATTATTATTGGGTAGCTGGCAAACACGATCGGGTATGGCATTGATACAGAGAAGGGTGAATTTTGATGAAACGTGGCAAAAAATATCTGATACCGTTGATGCAGTTATCTGCTTGAAGAAGGTCACAACAAAAGATTGGAATGAAAGATTCACATATCCTTTTAAAATTGTTTGTTTATTATATGAGATTTCAATATCTTCGCACTAAAAAGTCAAGGGAAATGCCATATAATATTTTTAACTAATGTCATGTAATATTTTTAACTATAATGCATGGTGTTAAGATTGTTTATAATATTTCCTGTGTATATACATGTATATTAATTAATTTTAAAATAATAACAAGGGGAATCAAAATAAGGATATAGGCATGGCATGATATAGGATTGTTGCAGAAAACAAAATTAATTGGCTGTACATATTTGATAAATGAATCTACCATGGGGAATTCAGAAAATGTAGCTGCTATGTTAATAATGCAAGCCTATTTAAAATAATATTGCAACAAGACTAGTTTGAAGTTTATATATAAATTGGGTCCAGGAAATGATAAATATATAATTTCATTATTTTTAAACTAGAACTAAATTTCGTCTGGAGAAGATACAGTATGATATATTCTCTTGATTTCATGCATTGACATTCGGAATGCACCTAATAATTAACTGTGTAATAATAATGCATTGTTATTTTGAAATTATCATTTTAATTTTATTCCTTTACTGAATCTTAAAGATGTGTATTCCATGTGTGTTGCTTACCCTGAACCTCTTGTGGAAAGGTTGTATGAGGAAGTTAAGAAGCTACTCACTTCCCATGTAGATAAAATTTATAAAGTAAGTCCATAAAATATAGCCATGTGTAATGGATAAAAGCACATAGGTAGAGGCATGTCCTATCCTTTCTTTTTTTACTTATTCTTATGTTCGGCACCTTAAGGAAAACTCTTTGGAAAGACGTAGCTTTTACTGTTACCTTTCATTTTTTGTTCATGCTGGTTATACTGGTCATGCTGTACCAATTATTTGGTTTATTTAACACTAAAAACTGACAGAACTGTAAATGATTGAAATATTTAGACCAATACAATTGAATTTATAGTGATGTACTACATTACCTATGTATATTTCTATATTGAAACACTTAATTAGTACTGCATATGATTTTTCAATTGGAGATGACATTTTATTAATCCTATACTAAAAGAATCCTATTTAATGAAATCATATCATTCACACCTGATTTTCATGGAATTTTCCAGGTGACTTTCCATATTAATATCCTGAAATTGTGTCAGAGGATTAGCACTAGGATTAAGGATTAGTGTTTGGATTAGGGTTCAGCTTAGGATTAGGGCTGTGAACTCTATGTGAAGCCGTAGTCAAATCTAAAGCTTCCTACTACAGCAGTGTACTATGAATAGTTATGGCAAAGTTTTAAAGATGTTGGTTGTCATAGTGCAAAGATTGTTGGCTACATAATGTTCATAATTTGCATATTGTTAAAGATTTATCTCTATAGAGAGTTGGTGGACTAGCTGGTTGTACTGCTCTTGAAATATTGTGTCTTTTGTTTTATTGACTGGGGAATGATTATTCTACTTTCTCATGTTAAAAAAATGCCTTGTTTTTTAGGAGATATCTTCTGAAACATACTACCTTCAATTGTATCATAAACATTGGTCGCAATATTACGGCGGATGCCGCTTTTTAAATCTGCTATTTCGGTAATTAATTACGAATTTTTTTGTGTAATTAAACAAATAACGGTGCAAGGAGTTGGCAAAACAAAACGAATTAATTATATATAGAGACATATCTATGATCATTAGGCAGGGGCGTTGAGTCAATGTTGCTAACAGATCGCAGAAACCTTTTTGATAGGGTAAATCAGTTTTTTCTCGTGTAAATTAAATTAAACGTTCTTGATTGAGAGAACTAACGCATTTCGTCTATGTGCTCATTGTGTTATACATTGGTTGGATTAAGTTGTTTTAACAAGTAAGGAATGTGTCCAATAAGTAAAATTGACTTAATATTTAACAGTACACAATTCAAATGCATTAATGGTGGGCATGATAGATGGAAAAACAACATATAAGTAAATGCGACCGATCAAAATGATCGGCAAAAGAAAAGCCCTTATTTTAGAAGTAATTTTGCTTGTATTATTTTAGCCATTTAAATCAACATATTAAGAAGGAGAGACAAGATGGTGGAGATATTTCACCGTTCGTCGTCGCCGGTTCCGAGGTTGAAAATATGCTTGAAGTTGGTGAGGTAACAGTGTACTTTATTCATTTTGACTTGTTGCGTTTTATGGTTACGGGTCCCTTGAGCGCCAGTCGTCGCATAGGGCAGCTACAAATTCCACTGTTTCTCCACCCGGTCGCCCGCCATATGTGCAGCCTCGCGCCAGGTCGCCCACTCAAACGATTGTCTCTTTTTGTCCACCATTCGTCGCCATGTCTTCTTGGGTCGGCCAACGTTTCGTCTCCACGCCAGTGTCCATCTCAGAACCACTCACAGTCATTTATCGGTCTCGTTCTCAAGACATGCCCTATCCATCCATCAGAATATCTGATATCGGTCCAATTCCGTTTGCTTATAAGGTTCGCGTTAGATATTGTTCGTGGCCAAAAAATTTCCATGACTTTGCTCTTGTTGATGTTAATGTACAGTCCGGTTTGTCGAGCATAGCGTTCCAGTTCGTTCGTTTTTCGTTGCAAACTCGTTCGTGACATTGATAGTAGAGTTAAATCGTCGGCAAAGTCCAAGTCTTTTTGTGTGTCCAAAACCCACCTCAGTCCTCTCTTTACTCTCGTGGTGTTCCTCATTATCCAGTCGATGACTAATAAGAAGAGCAGTCCTGACATCACGCATCCTTATCTCACACCTGATGGCACATCAAACCACTCTGACAACTCTGCCTCGTGGTCGACTGCACATCTAAATGCACTGTAGAACATTCTCACTAGATTGACGAGTTTCTCCAATATTTCATAATTCGCATTTTTCCACAAGTTCTCACGGTGTATACGGTGTGTCAAACGCTTTACGGAAGTCGACAAAGTTAGCTAATAAACGATGGACCGTTCCATCCCGCGCACTGCTCGATGATACTTCGTAACAGGAAAATCTGCTTCACGGAGGCCCGCTAGCTCTTTCCTCATGCAACGTATGCTCTCACTCGTCTCTAATTTGTTTGATGACACTCTATACTCAGCACTTTCCCAGGGACAGACAGCCTTTATTATCACCCTTTTTGCTAGTCTTCAGGGGTCTCCTCATTGTTCCACATCAACGCGAACAGCTTTTCCAACGCTACGGCCGTTGTTCTTGTGTCTACCTTCATTAGCTCCGCTTTGATGTTTTCTATTCCTGGCGATTTACCGTTCTTCAATAGCTTTAATACTTTTCTCAATCTCCTCCAGTGTCGGAGAATTTGTATTGATGTCAATCTCAACTTACTCTGTGGAGTCAATCTCTACCGGTTTTGCTTTTCAGCATTTAGTACTTTCTTTAAATGTTCTTTCCACCTTCTCATCTGTTCGGCCTCACTCTTGTTTCAGCTTGTTTCGTGCGATAACGACCTCATGGTCACTTCCCATATCGGCGCCTTTCTTCACACACACCGCTCAGTGATCGTCGGAACTTTAGGTTTATGATATGGTCCGCCTGTCCACTGTCATTTTGATTCATTTTTATCATTTTGTAGAAAAGTCGGAATGTTTGTGTCTGTTTCTGTAAAAACGTTCTTTTACGGGGGTGAGTTTTTGGCCCACCGCCCAACCCCCAACCTGGGGGACCAGTTGGTTGTATTCAGTCTGGAATCTTCCCCTCGAGCTGTCCGACATGGGTAAACCTGCAGGCAGACATGGCGTTCATTTTGAAATTTGAATCGCTCCAGTGACTTGACGCTCGGTAGAGTGCCGTGCATGTTTTCTCAGTTTTGATTAAAACGTTTTTTTTATGTCATAGTGTTTTTAAGGAAAATGCTCTGAACACTGGTTAGAATATACTTACACGAGTTAGTCAAGGGGCTGCTTAAGCGAGTATGACCGGTCTTTAGACATCGTAGTTTTGACTATTTTAGGCCAGTCATAGTTAATTTTCGCTTTCCACCCTTTTGGCTATAAAAATCCTCTACTTCTTTGTAGCTTGCATTGGAAATTTGGAGAGAAGCCGTAATAGAACCCATGAAGGAAAAGTTAGTTGCAGAAATCTTGGTCGAGATAGGAAGGTTGGTATAAACATTACCGGTGGTAGTTATATATGATGTTAATAAACTTTTAGATGGATTGTTAAACTCTATCAATCGTTTCTATATAGAGATCGAAATGGTGAGAACACCCAGCACAGCGTAATCAAGGCAGCCATTGAATCATTTGGTAATTCACAGGAAATTGGGATATACCACAGCATGATTCACATGAGTTCTAACTGTAAAACAATTACTATTTATTTTTCTTTGGTAAATTGGTGTAGCTGTGAAAAAGTTAGCTGCTATTTTTTTCAATCAAACTCAAAATAATATCCGGGTTTTTCCTAACAACCGATTAATTGCTATTTAACTGCCATTCAATTTATTCGCAGTTGTCGTTCAAGAGTATTATATTCGAGGGAAACTACAGGTAAAATTTAGTTATAAATATAAACGTGAGCAAAGACTGCCAGAAAATTCGTTATAGTGCAATGTAACCGACTCATTGTCTCTATATTGAAGTAATAAGTATAGAGATGCCCGAGGCTCAAAAATCTTATACCCGACATATTTCTTTCTCGGTAGCTTTACGAATCTGAGTTCGAACGAAAACTGCTGGAAGAAACACGAGAATTTTACCGAACGGTGTCTGCGCGACTTGTATCTGAATTCACATGTTCCGTTTACTTAGTCAAGGTACTGTATGTATATAAATAGCGCATATGTCGAAATCATGCATGGATGTGTTTATATGTAATTAAATGCAACTTAACTAGTGTAAAATTGATTCATATACTCCAAAAGGCGTACCGAAAATATAAAGCGAGTTATTAAAGGAACGATGTAACAGTTCTCAATTACTGTAATTCACATTATCTTAAATGCAGTATGTTTGAATGTTTGAATTTACAATCTCATTGCTATAATTCCAGGCAGATAATTTGATTCGGGAAGAAAAGATCCGAGCTTCACGACTTTTTCACAATTCTTCCACAAACAAAGTGAACAAAGAATGTGAGGGACAGTTGGTTGAAAGTCATGTAAATTTACTGCAATCTGAATGCAAACAAATGATAAGAGATGAAAATCTTGAAGGTGAGGAAGATTAGGATCTAATCTAGTTTTCCCTTTATGGTAAAAAAGCAAATTTAAAGCTTGTTGGAAGCTGTCGATTTCATTGTGGATAAAAAAGCAAGCAAGAATGCTCTCCGGCCCGTACTAATAAAAGTTTAACACTACTGTTGCATATTATGAGACACTAAATTCATTGTTGTATCACTTGCATGTATTCTCATGTTCAGATCTTGGAAGAATGTATTCCTTGATGAAATCTAGTGTGACTGGTTTACGGTCGATGGTTCAACTTTTGGAGGACAACATAAAAGAGAAAGGTACCGTATGCATGTATTTGTAGGAAGAATACTATTTGACATTTAACATTTCTGTGGTACTTTTTACTGACATGTGAAAAATACTTTAAAGAAATTGATAGCTATGGCCAACAGTTCCATAAATTGCTATCATCCTGCCGAAAAAGTTCATGAAAACTCAGCCTTGCACAGTTAAGATTGTTCAAAATATATCTTATACATTAATTACAGCAAAAAATTACTACAAAAACAAAATATTTTACCCTATTTGATTAAGATGTAGATATTAGTGTAGGTATAATCATGCGATGGCGAGTACAATTTGGAATTAATAGTACGAGTGATGTTTGAAAATTTTGCCAAAATTGGACGAGCCGCCGGGGCAATAAAACCTTCAAACATGACGAGTCAAAAATGTTAAATCAACTTAGGCTATGCCAGATTGTTAGTTAGAAAAATCTTTGTAAGTAAAAATTCAAACATTTTTTACGGAATTATGACTTTTGCGTGACGTTATCTGGTATTTTTATTATCCTTTGCTTTAACACTGTTTCTCTTGTGTAGGATTGGAAACCGTACGTTGTATTGACGCTGAAAAGGTAAACGAACTCCCTTATCGTATTAATGTTGGTCATGCACGTATAAGATCTCTTTATATTATACTGCATGTCAAATTTAACCTAATATTTTAAAAGAGGGATATATATTGAGGATTTAAGTACAACTTGTTAAATGAATTGGTCTTTTTTGCTGATTGATATTTTCCTGTTTATATTTTTGTGTGTATATCTGTTTATTCATCTTTTTTTCTGTGATTTTAATTGTATTAGAATGCCATGCAGTGAATTTGTCTTTTTTTAGACTCCGCATAATTATGTCGATGCTTTACTACGAATACACAGAAAGTATTTCAACCTAATCAACAACACATTCAATGGCGATAAAGCATTTTTTAAGGCTCTGGATCAGGTAGGTCGACGTATTGGCCTTTGTAGAATTTGTTCTTTTTATTCCTGAAATATTATCTTTTGTCCATTTTTCTATTTAAATGCCAAATGATATCTTTTGAGAATTATTGGGTTCATTTTGTCATAATATGTAAAGGCAGTTGCGGTGCCCGTAATTTGTTTTGGGCCAAGTTACATGTGGTCGGTGTTATGTTTTGGGTATTTGTGTATAGAATATTCTTTTGGCATTTAGGCATGTTACGTTATTGTCAATACCGAAAAGTCCTCAAAGAAGAGCTCTCAGTCTGCAGAATTGGTAAGCATCGCGACGTTGTTAGCGCTTTGTACTCGCAAAAGCATTCGTATTATTTGACACTTAATTGCATCCCTTACAGTTGGCGCGCTATGCAGATTCGATTTTAAAGAAAAGCCAAAGAAATTTAAACGAAAGCGAACAAGAGGAGAAAATGGCTGATATAGTGAGTTTCCCATGATAACGAGGAAATTATTATACATTCACCATATGCTAGACCCGGATGGATTGGTGTCGATTAGTAATCATTGACAAGTGATGCCACCTATTTCTATGCGTTTGATTTTTTTAAAAAAAATTAGAAACATTCAAAGTACTGACACAAATGCATTTCAATTTCTCATCCGAATGGATAAGATGATCCAGAATTAGCACTATAGCCTAGTTGAGGAAATACTAAAACTGCAACACATCGAAAAATAGTACACTGTACACATACATATCTTTTGTGGGTGAAGCATGAAAAAATGTCTGAAAATATTATCACCGTTCGAATGAGCCGATTTGAATCTTTTACTTTTTACGTTCATGCTGACGTGTTATATTTACTTTCATGAATCACTACCGTGTATTGTCGAGGCCTTTTGCAGCGACAGTTATTGTAACTGTAAGCAACCTACAACCGTAATGATTTAACGAAATAATTTTTATTTATAGATCATAGTATTTAAGTATCTTGACAATAAAGATGTCTTTCAAATGGTAGGTATTTTCACTATTTTGATAGCTTGTTTGATAGAAATTGATTACTTTTACAGTCAGTGAATGCAGGGCAATTGTATCGCCACCCCGAATTTGCATCTGTTTACAGCTGTGAAGCTCGGTATAAAAAGATTGCAAAAAATATCTTACATATTTTAACACATTTTTTGTCAACTCAATTACCTCACAAATTTTGTTCTATTATTTGGTCGTATTAAGTATGTGTCGTGGAATTGGAATAAATACTATATTTTATCCTGTTTGGCATCATGTATATTTCACATTAGATACGTTATCTTAGATGACGAAACACATGCATATTTATTCGTAAATATTTTGATACGTAAAGAGGCAAATGAGAACCTGTATAAGATTACTATAACAGTGTAACGTTCTTTCATTAATCAGGAGGCAAATACAGTGGCGTACGGGAGACGATAATTGGGGGGGGGGCACATATTCATATATTCCTGTTGTGCAAGATTACAGGTCTGTTAACATGAATATATGAATATGTGCAACACCTCCCAATTATCGTCTCCCGTACGCCACTGCAAATATAATTCCCATTCCTTTGATTTCTAAAGATGATGTAAATGAATTCATCACAAACTATATAAGCAGGTTTCCAAAAGTTGCTCCTCCACCGCTCCTCCATCTGTGATAATATCTCTGATTAATCGTTTAGTTTTTTGCGAAGATGTTGGCAAAACGTCTAATTCATAATCTGTCAGTTTCCATGGATGCAGAAGAAAATATGATCAACCGCCTGAAGGTAAAAATTCCAGGAACTTTGTAGTAATTTAAATTATATGCAATGGTTGGTATTATGGGGCAAACATGTCAATGGAACATTGGAACTTAATCATGATATCAAAAGGTTTCTTCAAAACAAATATTGTGGGCTATGAACGTTGGACTTGGGACTTACCAAGAAGTAGCTACTACAGAAATGACAAGTCTGTTTTAGGCCTGTACGAAAAAGGCAACTCTGGTTAATTTCTTTTTCGGTTGGCTATAGCTGCTGTAAAATAATATAATTTTAATGACGTTTCAGTATGCATTTTTTTCAAAATATTGCAATCATTTCATGATATAAGCAGGGCGTCTATAAATATAAGTTTAGATTTCGCTTGGTCCGGAAATTGTTTGTTTGGATTAAATTGGCGAGGGGTTATTGCATGCATGTATTTCTAGTTTATAATATTTTGTAATTTATAACTGTTTTCTTGTTCCTTTGTTTCTTACAGCATACTTGTGGCTATGAATATACGAACAATCTTCATCGAATGTTCACCGACATGAGCTTGAGTGGAGATCTAAACAAAAATTTTATTGATGGGTTGAAGGACACTGATCGCAGACTCGAAATCAGCACGTCGTTTCTTATACTGCAGGTTTCGTATTAAGGCCGTGCACCTTGTGACTTAGGGTACTACCGTACTACGGCATACCGAAAAGAAGTCGTAAACGTAAACCCGCATGCATGCAGCATTTCCATCACAATTTTCATTTTAAGAGTTTTTGCTATTTTAAGAAACCAGCTCTTGATAATTTTCATCTAAGAACAATCATGGACTTAGTTCCTCTGCCCTTTAATCCAGCATGTGAGAGATAAATAGTTTTATTTCCTTTTACACCGATGTAGTTGGCATTGATTTCATTCATTGATTTCATTCCGCTTTTTAACGTTGTACCTCGGTATATGGTATTGGATAATGTATAGGGTATCCACTATAGCCTTGTTTATGTAATGCTGTTTTCAGTGTCAAAATACTAAAATAACGATATTTAACTTGTAGTCCGGAGCTTGGCCACTTGCTCAGAATCCTGTTTCTCCTCTAACGATACCTCAAGAGTTTGCGCAAGCAATTACTTTGGTATGTGTATTATACCTTATAGTAAGTCGAACTAGCAATATTTCCAGCATTACAAGAAGTATATCCAGAAATGAATATGACAGCCGAGAGAAGAATGTAAACTTTATGACTTGACACTTTTTATCACAGTTAAAAACTAAACTAGTTGCATTTTCTACTCCCAAGCTGTGGTTTATGTTTAGAAAAGATATAATGACAAAGTACCTTGGTACAACCATGCATTTGTATTGGCGCTTTAACACGTTTCGTTGTTTGACAGTTTGAAGAGTTCTATAACAAAAGATTTAACGGACGGAAATTAACATGGCTCCATCACCTTTCAAACGGTAAGAACCACTAAGAACACTGCAGTCATAAGTTGCTTTATTTAGCAATGAGGAAGCAAACTAATCACTACATTAATCGTGGCTTTAATATGCTTTTTCAGCAGAAAATTAAGATATAATCAAAAATATAGATTTTCCAAAAATGGTGCATGTAAAAGCTTTTACTTTACTTTATTGTAAGCCGATTTATAAGTCTATATTTCTTATTTATACTGACCACAACAATGGATACACTCACAAAATGTAAATTACACAACTGTAAATACTACTTCAATTGTACCAACGCTTGATTTTTTTGCAGGAGAAATTCGTTTGAACTACTTAAAGCGACCATACATCGTCACAGCTTCAAGTTACCAAATAGCTGTTTTACTTTTGTTCAATCATTCCGATTCTATCAACTACAGGTAAAAATATACTATAAATATAGTAGATTTTATTATTTGCGGTTTAAGACCAAGTGCATTATTGTTGACCTATTTCTGCAGGGAAATTTCTTCCCAAACCGATATCCATCCTAAGGAGTTGGATAAAACTTTAAAATCACTGGATGATGCTAAAATTCTGGTATCAACTAAGGTGAGCTAATTTTCTCCATGGCATAATTTCCCCTTCCTGTCAATAATGTTTCTTTTTATGTTGTTTTTGAATATGGTCTTTCGTGAAAATTGGAGCCCTCTACCACGATTTAAGCAATATATAATAATAGACTGAATAGGAAGGCGTGCATGTGTATTATTACTAAACAAAATGAGACCGACCCTTGAGGCAAAGCACGCGTCATAACATATTAACATTGTCTTCTGCATGGCAATATTTAAGTAATCGCGTTACTGACTGAATTCTGTCTAAATGGTCATTTCTGAATGAACTCGGAACTATTTTCGAGCATGCATCTGAGCTTAAACGAAGGCGTCGTTCTCTCGAAGCGCCCACTTCTGGAGCTGTGTTTAAAAATTTATTAAAACACTTATCCTATATTTAAAAACTCCGAATAATGTATGATAGACAGCATTACAATAAAAGTCGATACTATAGATGTGAAACCCTGTTATATTAATTTTTCTGTTTAGGAAGGTGAATTAGAAAATGGAACTTTGTCCCTCAACACTAATTTTACTAGCAAAAGAACAAAATTGAAAATTACCGTTCCTGTTATGCGCGAAACTGCCCAGGTTAGAAATATTGGACGACTTCTTGCACCATACCATTTTATGCTAGTGAACATTCATATTAAAACGTGAAGAGGTTAGATCTGGCTAGCTCAGGAAATATTTTGCTTCATTCGAAATGGCGAAGGGTTGCTGCATGCATATATTTCTAATACTGATGTATTCTGAATTTTGTTTTATATTTCTTACAGGAGGTCCATCAATTCCGTACCTCAATTGACGAAGACAGAAAGTTGTATGTACAGGTGATAGTACTATTTGATTTAATCCTTTAGTCTTGACCCTTAGAGGGACCGTACGAGATAGTGGTGTTCCGTATTAGGGTGGCATATGGTTGGTATCAATACTGTCTAGAAATGGAGGATGGAAACACTTTTCTGTCGTTCTTCTCTTCGCTGCGTTGACAGTCCTATTTCAACGTGTTTTTGCTTTTGCTTAATTTAGGCAACAGTTGTTCGGGTAATGAAAGCGCGGAAAGTTCTTAAGCATAACGTTCTGATGCAAGAGGTGGGTGTTTTATCGACGTTTAGTAATGAATGGCATATTGAAAAGCAAATGTGCATATAAGAATAATTTCTCTCCAGTTCATAACTGATTTTCACGAATTTAATCTCACTCACGTAGAATATAATCTTAACTTTGCGCAATTTCAAAAAGGACAAATTGTAGGCGTAATGTAAGCGTAATGACGCTGACAAATAATTTCTAAATCTTGCTTGGAGAGTTATATGAAAGACAATAACTTCTTACTCGTTCTTATCACGTTTATTGGCATTACAACCATGTACTGAAAATACTAGTAATGCCAATGGTATGTACATGAAGTTAAAATATATCGTCAACGCGTCATAACGAGTACGGTGTTTTGCGATATAGAAATTCGGGAATGCAGAAAATAAGATCCGAACTAGATTGCAAGTTTGGCATTATGCTTTCCAATTGTCACAGTGATTTTATTATCAAGAATTGATTGTAGCTACAATACATATTAATAATCTTCGAATTAGCCACATTCTTATTTCATATCTTCAGGTAATCAGCCAATCAAAGACTAGGTTTGCACCAAGTGTGTCCATGATTAAGGTAGGTATCCAAAAGAATTCTTGTTATACATCATGGCTTTCGGCTCCAAACATTTGAAAAATATAAATGCTTGGGGCTATAAAATGCAATTATATACTTCGGACTGTCGGACAATTACATTTTGAAAGTTAACTTTTCATCGAATATAGCCTACATCAGAATGAATACAATGAAGTGTTGCTGAATTTATTTATCGTCCCTTGTGTTGGTTCTTATATCAATGATGATAATCATGCAGACGTTATTCCAGATATTAAGCAAGCGATTGTAATATATATATATATATATATATTAATATATATATATATAATTATATATATATACACACACATATATATATATATATATATATATATATATATATTTATATAGTAAGGGGATATATAGGGTATATATATATATAGTAGGGGGAAAAGATATTTTAATACTTAATATTTATAACTTTTTAATACTTAATATTTTCTCAATTTTTTTTTAATCTTAGAAAGCCATCGAGTCCCTAATTGAAAAACAATATATAGAACGAAAAGGAGGGAGCAAAGATGAATATACATATCTGGCGTAGTTGCAGTAGTTACAAAGGAAGGAATCTTTAGAAACCGAACTCGGACAACGATGTGTTTTCGAAAAAACTAATTCTGCTTTTTTTAAACCCAAAGTAATGAGTCGTGTTTCCTTTTGGTGCATTGTAAATAGACGAAGCTACATAGGGCTACCACTCAATTGATCGTCATTCTCTTGCCGAAGTTTTGTAATTTTTCTAATAAATATATATTGATCATTTTTAAAGCAGTCGAAGTGCTTAACCCGAGATGTTAAACCATTTTGTGCCATGCACCCGTAGTGTTAGTGTTTAGTGTTTGTGCCAACCCTTGAAATCATTATATGCTACTTTAGCAAACGGTTTAAGAGCGCTTGAAAAGTCCTCGATGAGGGTACTTGTAAATTCAGATGTCTCTAAGGAGTTAACGTTAAATAGAATTTCCATGAATTGAACAAAAATTCCACAAACAACAAGTTTAAGTTATTTATTCACTTTCAAAATTGACGATTTTCTAAATGTGTTAACATGCTGAAAATGCCTTAAAATGTTACTAAAACGATCTTTTTTCGTTTTTAAGCGCATTTGATTTCTTTTTTGAACATTGAAGAATTTGTAAATTTCAACCAAAATTAAAGATTTTTGAAAATTTTCTAAAATGTGTTACATGCTAATATAGCTTCAAATATTTACTAAGGCTAATCTATTTCGTTTTTGAGCGTATTTGTATTGGAGCAATGAAAAATTCAAAAATATGATTTAATGGAAACGAAGATGTGACGAGCGGATAGTACTGTGTAAACGCATTCTAAAAGAAGTAGAGTTATTTAATATCTGTTGCGTTATGTTGGAGATTTGGAGTACAATTTGAGCTGTGAAATAAGTGGCAAATGTTGAAACATTCTAATGAATCTGAATTACCATTTTCCTCAAATTTTAATTTGTGACCTGTACAATCAGACTTGCCTTCATTAAAAATACAAAACAATTGCACCGTAACCGTTAGCTTCACCTGGGCCGCATATAACTAGCTTATGCCAACGTAATGCTGCTCCTTTGCTCAATGGAATCCATACCTGTGGTATTTTTGCGTCAGCACAAATGTTGATATTATTAGGTTAAAACTACGGAAAAGATTCAGTTTTGTGCGTTTTAGACAAGAAAATAAATTATCATTATCAAAGTAAACTGGTATAAATGTATGTAAAATCCTTCGAAAAAAGGTTGAGTAAAATAGAATAGTGTAGTAATTCGCCTGAAGTTCTGCTGTTCTAGTGGTTAAGGCAGTGCTCTCCCATGTTTCAAACCTGGGGTTCGGGTCCAAGCATGTCTGTTTTTTATTATGTCTTTCCAGAAAAGGATAAAGTAAATCAACTAACCATATCCATTCAGCACATGATCTCGTAGTCCAGTGGTGAGGACAATGGTCCCCCAATTGCCAAGTCGATGGTTCGAATCCAAGTATGCCATTTTTTCATCATGTCCTTCGTGAAAAGGATAAAGTAAATTAAATAAGCTTAGCCATGCAGCAGAAGATCTTGTAGTCTAGTGGTCAAGACGTTGGTCTCATAGTGGACGACAGTCGAAGGTTCGAATCTCGTTTTAGGTGGAAATTTTCGTTATTAATATTACATGGTAAGGTGATGGAAAATAAGTTGGTGTAGGCTTCCAACAATCACCAATTAGCCTTGTGGTAAAGTCGTGGACTATCAAGCACAAGACCGAGGTATCAAGAACGGGATGGTACGTTTCTCATGGCGGTAAAAGAAAAAAAAAATGGTAGGTATGTTGCTCCCGGGAGGTTTATACTCGGTTAATCTTTGGAAATTAAAGTTAATCTTTAGGGAAATCAATGGATAGATAGGGTGAATGAGGGGTATATGAGTACAAAAAGACTTAGTAATTGGGCGGCCTCGGCTCCCGGAGCAAGGGGGAGGGGTATAGGTGAGAAAACAGTATGTAAAATGTTTAAGTCTTTTTGTACTCATTTAAACCTCTTTACCCCTATTTATCCTCCAATTTACTCCTATCTATCCCTAATTTTTCCTATCCTCACATATCCCTAACTATCCCCTAACACAATTAAATGTTTGAAGAAAGCTCGTTTTGAAAGTCGGGAAAGGCGGGGGAAAGAGAACCCCCCTCAGTCTACTCCTCGCCCAAGGCGAGGGCATATTCGCCCTCTCGCTCTACTCCTCTCACACTCACAAATTCTCACTTTATTACCTTTTTTTTTTCGGTTTATCCAGGGCTTGAACCATACACTGTATACTTGGTAGATCACCGTCTTCACCACTACACCATCAGTTCTTGTGGTGAAAGCCTACAGTTTTTTATTTTACTTAATGCTTCTTTGGAAGGACCTTTGATGAAACTTAATACCTTTTGGGAGGATCTCAAATGAAATGCTGAACAATTTAAACGAGTTCACTTTAATGATAATGATTTATTCTCTCAAATCTCACACGGTGTATCTTTACAGACTTTACTATCTTATTCGTAGCTTGTAACATATCACATACAGATAAGAAGTGCCTTAAAGTACCATTTTTCCATAGTTGGTTATATGCGGCCCAAGTGAAGCTAATGGTTACGGTGCGATTGTTTTGTATTTTTAATGAAGTGAAGTACAAGAATTAAGAATAGCCGAATACACATCTTACTGAGACTGGAAAGTTGACAGCCGTAAACTGAACCCGTCTGAATGTGAATTGGGATATGGAAAATTTGATGCATCGTTCGGGTAATGCGTAATCATTACGATAATAATTGTATATTTTGCCTTGTTCTGTCCTTGAGCGTGCTGATATTTCTGAAACTCGTCTGATTTACTGATCCGTCTAAATGCAAAATTATTAGGATAAATATTGTAGGTTGTGCACGTTGGACTTGGGACTTACCAAGAAGTACTACAGAAATGTCAAGTCTGTTTTAGGCGTTTATGAAAAAGGCAGCTCTGGTTATAATTTCTTTTTCGGTTGCCTATAGCTGCTGTAAAATAATATAATTTTAATAACGTTTCAATATGCAATTTTTTCAAAATATTGGAATCATGTCATGATATAAGTTTATAGATTTCGCTAGGTCAGGAAATTGGTTGTTGGGATTAAATTGGCAAGGGGTTACTGCATGCATGTATTTTTAGTTTATAATATTTTTAAATTTATAAATGGTTTTTTGTTCCTTTGTTTCTTGCAGCACACTTGTGGCTATGAATATACGAACAATCGATTCCCACCGCGGTCAAATAGAATTTTCTGCTTGCCCGGTTTGTTATACTTGTGCAGAAGAACAAATACACCTTACATATATATCCACAAGTGAACACATGGCTCAATTGAGAGCAAAAGTACATATATATATATATATATATATATATATATATATATATAATTATATATAATATATATATATATATAATATATATACACCATTTGCAAAAACGTTGGCCTCAGATAGATAGATAGATAGATACTCGAAGTCTAATTAGAATTGCATATGAATACATCTTTCGGGTATCTATATATATCTATCGGGTATCTATATATATCTATCGGGTATCTATATATATATATCTATCTAATTATATATATATATATATATATATATATAATTTAGAATAAATAAGTTTCATGTTATAATTCATGTACTAAGCTTGTTTGGCATATAAATTTATAATAAGGTTTCTAAAGAACGAGGCAACATAGTTGTATGTAATACTTCTAAGCTCACAGTCATTGGCGTTTGCTTACCATTTTTGCCATCGGTAAAAAAATGGTCGGACTGTAAGGATGTTTGTCGAATGGATCGGATCGATCGATCGGACCATTCGACATTCACACGCTGCACATTGAACGTGCACTACCACGCGAGACACGCGCGCAGTAACCCTCACAGCAGGCCTTTATTTGTTTTCGGGCAACCGGGAAAATATTGTCCGACGGTAAGCAAGATTGTCCGGTCGATCCATCCGTACCATCTGTAAGACTGCTTTGTCGATCGGATACCGATCGTCATGCAGTATTGGACATTTATGTTAGCGTGTCGTGAATAAAAATACTACCTATGCCATCACAGAAAAGTCAAGAAACTTTGGAAATTTTAGCCTACATTAAAACTATACAGTTATATACGTTGCTCCCATGCAAGTATTAACTTTCGTTAAAGATTCGTCAGGGCCTAATATGCACACTCTGCAGTCAACCACCCCATAACTAAAAAAACGATTCAGCTATTATTTTCGTCATTCGTAACATTGAATCGATAGATAGCTATCTAGAGATCAGAATGTGTAAAAATAATCACAACCTTGACATGCATGAGCACATGCAGATGATTTTGCAATTACAGGAATTAGCAAAACGACCTATAGGAATCCAGTTGCAATTCCCCTCACTATCTAACCAACACAAGATTTGTTCCACAGTGGCGTTGAATCAGAAAAGGCCATGCAACTTAACTGAATTAACATTGAAATGATATGATATGATTATTCCTCGAGGTACAAAACTATTTACTTTTTCATATGCTTGTTGATTCAATTTGTTAAAATAATTTAATTAGATCTTTTGATACATCCTTAACGTCGATATTGAGCATTCTTTCAAATTACACTGATATATATACAGGGTGAGCAAGAGCTTAGAATGCATTTTAACTCCTAAGGGGAACAAACTTTTTGTTTTAGGTTAATTATAATGGGTTCACTTATTCCATATGCTTCGTATATGGAATAAGTCACTGCAGCAAAAATAGAAACCAGTCAGAAGAGCGGATAAAATTTATTAACTTTTACCGTGTATTGTATTCTATAAACAAAGACAGTCAAAGAACTTTGAACTTGGTTTATAAGGACCTCTTTACCAAATAAATAACACTCAAGCCCCGTTTACACTACACTCGATTTATTGGCACGGCACGGCTAAAATGGGTACCAATTTTAGCCGTGCCGTGCCGATAAATTCAGTGTAGTGTAAACGAGGCTTCAGACACAAATATTCATTGTCCTTTAAAAATTAACATAAAGGAAACACTCTAACGTTCGCCCTTGACTTGTGGAGGCGCGCGAGGAAAAAAATTCAGAGCGCAGTACTAAGATATACACTGATAAAATGGCAACGTTTCTTCATAAACATACATTAAAGGTCATTAACCCTCATACCGTCTCATACAACAAAAAAGTTCATGGATCATGATAGTTTAGCTATAAAAGCGTGTAATCCCGTTTAAGTAAGCGAATGAAACACAATCATTTTGGCTTATGCGAGTTTCCTCTCGATCGCGAGATTGCAACAGCGCGCACGTATGGAAATGCTCGTCCAATTATTGTGTTGCATTGGCAATTCTAATAAACGTAAGTTTATTAGAAATAATAATTATTTTACTTTGTTCTAATTCTATGCTTATACAGGGAAAAAAATCAGCATAAGAAAGGTATATTGATTTTCAGATCGAAGTGTTGATAGAATAGAATTAATTAAGGATCAAGTCATGCCGCCATGTTAGACGTAAGCGTTGCATCCGGCGATGATGTGAAGAAGCGCTTAGATGACGAAGATGCTGACGCTCGTTTTTTTCTTTTTAGGATTTAATATTTACTAAAATAATAGACAAATCCTATCATTGGTCCCTCATACTTTACCAAGAGTCCCTTGCAATGAACAAAAGCTTCTAGAGATTTATTAATATATTTAACTGAACATATGTAATTACTTCACAATATATACTTGTACATATGTAACATCATCATCATTATTTTCCTGATGATGACTATAAAGCTTAGTAGAAATGCCGAAGATCATATTATTTAAAATGTTTACTTCTTACGGAGTTTCTATTGTTTTATATTCCACCTTGTTTCTTAGTTAAATAGGTGTAACTACCTCTATATTATGATGTCAAAAAATTGTCCTTAATATCAAAGGAATAGCCAAAATAATTGTATGCATGGTAGCTAATAATATATATGATTATGAATGTCTACGATTTGGATGATTTGACGGGTAAATCGATCCTAATCGACCGTGTTGAACAGTATCCATGCAAATTCTAAGAATACGTACATGAATTCATAGGCTCCTTGCAAGGACTTTCTCATAGTTCACTCTTTCCCGCGTATGGGATGAAATGTGCATTTCTCATTGTCGTCTCACATCAATTACTGTCGGAATGCTGTCATGTGGTTGGAAAATGCGACGAAACTCCATGATGCCCCCCCCCCCCCTCTAGGGTAAATTTGACTCCAAAAATCGATTCCTGACGTAAATTCACTGAGCTATACTATAATTCCTGAAAAGTGAAAAGTTCGATTCAGAAACATGTTATCATATGGAGTGGTCATGTACGCTGCGTACATATTCTTTTGATAGAGATTGTTTGTATACGCTTATGTGAAAATGAATATATTGATATTGCTAATGTTCTTGACATTGAATCTGTATTATATATCGAATATCGTGCAAATGTCAAAGATGATATATGCAGAAAAATGTTGCATTGTATGTCGTGATTCAATATTATTTTTAGCATCAGCTGACTTCACAATGCTATAAATATTCTATATCCTTTTACAACTAAAACAACATAGGATTTATGAATTGAGTAATATCGACAACATCGATCCGATTGCTCATTTTGTCGAAAAATAAATGAAAAATGTTTAACATGCATGACTCGGTCCTTATTTATTTTATCAATAAAGGAGGTCCGGCGTCTGCACATTTGTTCATTCATGCAGGAACCGAAACGTATACGTAATATAAATCGGGGAATCGCTTTTGTCATCTTTGACTATGTATATACCTATTTTCCACATTATCCATGTTATGAACGTGAAATGATGGACTGTGAAGGTTGTGAGGATCTAGAAACTATTTGTTAAGCTGTCGAAGTGAGGACAAAAGAAGACGACGACAAATTAAAGATGGAGACTATATTAATTTTGAATACAATACAATTTATGTGTATTGTTAGAATTTGGATATTATGCAACACGGACATTCGGTGTGGTTATAAATAATTTTGGCGCTGTACAGTATTTGTTATAAGTATATTGTTGTGTATTGTAGTTACACTTATTTGACGAAGAGACACGGTGTGTTTTAGCTATACCTCTTTTATCCGTATTCATCGAATATCAAATGTCGAAGATGACGTGCAGAAAAACTTAGTATCATGTGTCTTGTTTCAATATTATTTTCAGCATCACCTCACTTCACAATTCTAGAAAAATCTTTTCACTCAAATTAATATGATCCTCGTTTAAAGTAAACTTCCAAAGAATACATTAATATCACCATAGGATAATTACATAAATAACAAAACGACATCGATCCGTGCGGTCATTTTGTCTAAAAGTTAATGAAGAATGTTTAATATTGCGGCATGAGTCGGTCCTTATTTAATTATAAAAATTTAGTTATACCACCTAAATTTAGTTATAATTTATTTAACGATAATAATTTAATATTATTTTGTCAAGTCTGATCAGGTCACATTTGTGCCCCCTCAGTTGAAAAGTTCGATTGAGAAACATTTTTGTTCTTTATTGCACATCAGCACATGTGTCTATTTGTTACATGACGTAGTAAGACTCTAGCATGCACAATTCGATATTTTTCGTCTTGTCTTCTTTCAGGCCGTCTCTAGAAGCTTACAATTAGGGGGAGTGGTCATGTACGCACATATTCTTTTGATAGAGATTGTTTGTACACAGTACGGTTATTTGAAAATGAATATATTAATATTTCTAATGTTCTTGACATTGAATCTGTATTATGTATCGAATATCGTGCAAATGTAAAAGATGATGTTCAGAAAAAATGTTGTATTGTGGGTCCTGACTTCACAATGCTATAGATATTCTATATCCTTTTATTCAACTCGATATGATCCTCCGTTCAACATAAACTTCCAAGTATTTGGTGAATGCAAAACATTAAACAAAGGAGTTATTACAAAATATAATGCAGCTATCAACAATGTTATAATGTCAACGCCATTATAGCTGAAATGAATGCAAAAGAAGCTTCGATTCAAGTGCCATTTTCCTCTCGGCGTATACCGAGAAATCTTTTCATTTTCACAATATTTCGAGATTATACAGTAAACGTACTTTGTGGATGCTTTTCAGGTTTGCGAAACATTTTTAATGCTGAAAATTTTAGTGCTGTTGCATGAAGATATAACTGAGGTTTTGAACATATATTACGCGACATAAAAAAATATGTCCTCTTAATTATATTGCATCAACACTTCGATCTGAAAAACAATATACCCTTTATGCTGAATTTTTTTGCTCCACTTTAAATTCGAATGCGTAAAAGCTACGATCTTCCCGGCATGGAGAATTAACGAATTCTTGTTTTATATGAGTATTCGCAAAGAAGAATCAAGATGTTTTTAAAACATTGACAGAATTATTTTTATCAATAAAGGAGGCCGGCATGCATCTGCACATTTGTTAATTCATGCTGGAACCGACACGTATACGTAATATAAATCGGGGAATCGCTTTTGTCGTTTTTCACTATAAATATTTTCCGCATTATCCATGTTATGAACGTGAAATGATGGACTGTGAAGGTTGTAAGAATCTAAAAATTATTTGTTAAGCTGTCGAAGTGAGGACAAAAGTAGACGACGACAAACATTGTTTGTCCGACAACAGTACCACTGCAAACACAATGGGCGAGAAAGCTGTCTCTTTCGGGTGAGGCAACTTTGCATCTATTAAACTTTGTTTGATAAGATATTGATCTGGTGAATAAGAAAAGCGCATTTTATACCATATGCAAGGGACAAAATGGACTCCAGAGAGTCTTAATTAAAGAAGGAGGCTATTAATTTTGAATACAATACAATTTATTTATGTGTATTGTTAGGATTTGGATATTATGCAACACGTACATTCGGTGTGGTAATAATGTTGTGTATTGTAGTTATACTTATTTGACGAAGAGACACGGTGAGATCTGCATTTCGAAACAGCACGATTTAGCTACTAGGATCGAAATTTTGACACGAAAGAACTATAGCTATAAACGTAGACATAAAAGTAGACATGCACATCCGTTATTTTACTCCTCTTCAACTAACGCTACTGGATAACATTTTGAAATAGCTACACTTCTGTTACACATTTGAGTGTGAGGAAAAAAATTTTTTCCTCCCGGTATGAAAGATTAATGAGACAACAAGAGTATAAAATGCAACTGCATCTTCATGCTGCACTATTTACAAGCAAAAAGGGTTCATCAAAGTTGTAGAAATTTTTAAAGAAGAAATATGTAAGTGCATCTGTTATTTAGGTCCTCTGTATTTCAGCCTATGTTGAAACGATGTTAAGTCAGGATGTTTTCGGGATCCTTGCATGATGTAATATTTTATGCAAAATAAATCAGAGTAAATGTAAAATTAACTATAGATAATTATTAAAGCGCAAATATAATCCTTTGCTTGTTAAATTTACTTTGATATTAAATTTTACTTACTTAATGTAAGGCTTCATTTATAGTGCATTAGAGATGCATGACGAGAATAAAATACAATAAACTTGGTTAACTTCATATGATTTTATTCAGTACAAATTTGTTTCTATATACCCTCTATATTGTCTCTATATTTCAATGATATTCATTTTTTTGTAGAAAAAGATGTTAAGAATTTGCGTTGTTCTCGTCTTTGCAATATTTGAAGCAGTCAATGCTGATGGCGGCTGCTGTAGTGAATGCAACACTACACCTCTCAAGGTGCCAAGTAAGAGAGTGTTATTTCGCTATTTATTAATAGATTCAACTGGGTTGTAGCCGGAACACATATACCTTCGTTTTGCCCGCCAATATATTATAACTTAAAGGTTGGGGATAAAATGCGACTGAGGATAAAATGCGGATTATTGAATAAAATGCGGATTCGGGAATAAAATGCGGGCGAGGGGATAAAGTGCGGACGAGGGGTAAAAATATGCCTGTGTGTCTAACTTTCGAATTTGTTTTACGATCGAGCAAGTATTGAGGTTTTTTGCCACTATTTAAGGTTATTGTTCGGTTAATAGTTTAATATTAATTTACATTGCCGCTATACGGAAAAACTAAACTGAATATTGTATGTCCGCCAAGGCTTTATAAACATAAAGGCTGGTCTATTTAAAACTTTCTGCTCCTTCTCAGAAGTTACAAAATATCTCAAGTAAAATTTACAACTTTTAAAACGACAAAAAATCATTTTGAACACAAAGAATGATTACACTTAACGATATAGTATTAACATAGTAAATTACACGTAATTTAAGAATATATTAAATTTTTTTTAAATCAGCTATATCATAAGAGAGTCATTTTCACAATTTCACAATTCATTGTTCTGCCGCTTGCCTCTTTGGGGGAGTTCGTTTGGAAGAAGATGATGCAACTTGTCACTTGTGTTGAGGGTTAGGCCTAGGTTATACGTCGCATTTTGGTCGCGTCGAATGCAATTCAAACAATAGATAACAAGACGCCGGCTCGGCGTTTACCTTGGGTCGGTGCATATAGGGTTTGTTTGGAAACTTTAGTGTGGTATAAACCATCGTTTAAAAGACTATTAAACTATCTGCAATGCTAAAGCTCCGTGACTGCATGATTCATTCTGCCACATATGAAAATTGACCATTCCAATGTAATTGTTTACGAATCAGGGTCCCTGACCGTCAAATGCCTTTGGCTTCTTCTACAACCGACAAAATGAATTGAAGCAATTGTGCTTGCGAAGCTATAATCCAATGGTGAATAGCTAAGTATTTGAATGTAGAGTATTAAAATATCGAAACCTGTCTAAATAGACAGGATTAGTGAAAGGTTTCTATTACACAAAACCCATGCACTTGCATATATTAGCTCCCCAAGAGTTGGCCAAAACAAGGAGTAACGACAAGGGCGAACCCCAAGAAAAATGATCAAATGGAAAACATTGGTCCTTCGACGGCGAACAAGAAATCAAAATTTGCTATGCTGTGGATTGTAGCCTTACCCTGTAATGAAGCTTATATATTCAGAACGCTTTGCCTAATTAAATGAATCCCGAGCCACACCACAAATTAAACCACTGACTAATGATGATTTGAGATATTTTTACAAAATTAACACACACAACTAATTATGCTTGTGAATTTTTATGATGAAGTGACTTGCAAATTTAACGTTTCATACGGATTAAATATTATTATTTAAGTATGGAGTAACAGTTGGTTTATCTAACACGCAAAGTCGAATCTATCAACGAATCTAAATTATTAAATATTATAATTCCCACACAATTCTGTCATTTTCATGTGTTAATTTACACTCAAAATAAGCTTCGATCGTAAATCAATTATTTTCAGTTTAATTTCTTGGAGATCCATTAAGGCAAATTCAATTTCATCTGTCTTCGCATCAATAGACAAGCCAGCTTTGTTAAGCAAAACGGTAAAATGGTGTTTTCGTAACCTTCGGAAAACTCCATAAATGTCGTGCGATTCGAAGATTGAAGAGTAAGAAGTTGCAGTAATTTATGCGCCGTGGCCGCGAGGGAGACTGCTGCCTAGAACCCCACCAAAAAAAAAATAATAAAAAAAACAAAGCCGAATTTATGACCTTGTGTCTACCGACCCAAGGTAATGAGATGATAAACCTCATTTAGCTTCATTATCATCTCATTATCTATTGTTTGAATTGCATTCGACGCGACCAATATATAACCTAGGCCTTAGACATGTTATGTATGAGATCAATGCGGCATCGCAATTCGAGGGTAGTGCACATTTCTGTTTCAACCAATCAGTGCATAGCTTCGTTCTTTAGAAAGCATAGAAAAGCATTATCCAATTGGTACGAAAGTTTCCAAAACGAAGGTCTGTGTTCAGGCTACTCGGGATGAGTAGACTAAAGCGGTTAAAAATTAATTAGGTATGTTCGTTATAGCAAGATGGTACACAATCACAGATCAGCGGTTCTTAAAAAGCTCACTCGCACTTATGTGACATAGAAATATTACTTATTCATTTGTTTATTCACTTATTCTTTATGCTTTGTAAAATTCAGCTGAATTTTGTCTATTAAACACAAATACAATAACACAAACAACAAAATACAATGTTATTTAGATTGCTGAGAAAGCTATTCTTAATAAATGGAAGGATTTAAAGTTAAATTATAAAAGTCAAGCTCTTATTAAGTGTAGATATTGTCATGGAAACGTTATGAGAAGATTGATATCACCGGGGGATCATCTCTTACTCAATGAGTTTGAGTGTGGATGAGAATACAGGCGTTCAGTATTGTTCTTCATGACTAATAAAACTTAATATTGTTCTTTACTGTGCCACATGCAATTGAGATAAAGATTTTGGGAGGGGCTGCGCGTCAGCTGCTGTCTACAAATATTATCACTTTTATCCTTTCAGACATAAAAACTACTTGTACCGAATCGTGCAGAGTGCGCAAAGAATTCACCCACATGACGACGAACGAAAAGTGTGCCTACATCGATGCAATTAAACGTGTTTCGACGGAAGAGCCGTATAAAACCAAATATAAAAATTTGTTGTGCATTCACAAAAAATATTTCCCGCACATCCATGGTGACCATCCGAATTATTTCTTTCCATGGCATCGTTGGTTCATTTTGCAATATGAAAATCTTCTGAGGGAGGTTGATTGCAGTGTAACTGTTCCGTACTGGGACTGGACAACCGACGCGAATGGTAGGAAATGGTACGACAGTAGCGTTTGGGATATTTACAGCGGGTTAGGTGGTGATGGTAGCAAAGATGATGATAATGTTGTCGTCGATGGCCCATTCAAAAGTCCCGATTGGCCCATGGTTCCCGATAATGAAGATTGTAACGAACATCCTGTTTTGCTTAAAAGAAATTTCAATGAAAGTGGAAGCTACTCAGCTATTCACATCCAACTTTCGCTACAAATTCCTAGCTTTCCTCAATTTTCTAATACTGCTGAAGCGACATATCACGACAATATGCATGACTTTATAGGTGAAATCATGGGAAGTCGTCGTTCTGCCTTCGCACCCGAATTCTTTTTACACCATGGTTTCATAGATAAAATTTGGTCTGACTGGGAAAAGAATGAGACACGCGTAAATGATATGATGAAATATTTTCAGTGCAATGATAACGAGTTGGTAGGAACCTTGGGGATGAACGCTAGTAATTTTCTTAATTTGACAAATCTACCTGGAGACATCTGTGTAAGATACGAAGATTACAACGACTCCCCAATGAGTTTGTTACAAGGTTGGTTCATTAACGTAGATATGCTCCGGTCGTTTACAGCTATTTCAGTTGAAGTTATAAATTGTCTGTGATAATAATGAAATACACAATGTGAGCTCTAAAAGATAGTTGGTTTTTGTCAGATTTTAACAGATCAATTTCAGCTTCCAATTCGCAGCAATATTGCTGGAAAAACATTATTCTATTTTAGGGGAACTTGAAAAAAGTTTGTATCACTGGCCTTATGATGAGAAATGGGAATACAGTCCATATATAATACAGGCGCAACCTTTATAATACCCTGGGCCTACGATCTATTGCAAATGAATAAAACGAACATATATGAATACTAAGTGGTTGCAGTTTTTTTTATACAGCCTGTAGTTTGTACCCCATATTTCACGCATTGAAGGACAAACACAGGGTAAATACGTGGTTATATTATTATAGTGTATGTTAGTGTTAGTATAATTATAGTGTATGTTTATTTTATTTTCAAATGCTAAGCTACAGCCATGCTAAGCTTTTGTTTTTTCATCGCTCACATTGTGTATCGAGTACTGCCTCGCACAATTTAATTTAAATAGCTGTACAGTGCATGGGAAAAATACCGCTATGAAATCTAGTACGACTCCAAGATATTTTTCCATGCAATCGAGTATCTTTATATTCATCCCTCATATTAAGGATTGACTCTTGAACAACTACGAAACATTCCTTTTGTCCCGCCGCCACCGATTTCCCAACATGGTATAAAGTTGTTCCTCTTGCCGAAAAGTATGGTGCACGAAGTTGAGAGGATTATGGACAATTTGGGCCCCTTGTGCGTTATACCTCCTGGGATGACGAGCCGAAAGATTATGAAGATGGGATTTAATGTGGATGATATTCAAAGGTAAATTGACTAATTTTGTACCTAATGATTTTCAGCTATACTATACATCTCTCAAAGTACACGTCTTTGTTTATAATCTAAATCGTTTTATAATTGCTATATTACTACCAGCTGATCTAGGTATAAAAATCAACCAATCAGATACCACTTCATTGCATATGACTTCGACACTCGCAAAATATCAAGTAATTTTATTACATTTATGAGAAAACACGTTTATTTTTTTCCAAACTGTAAATTAGAATTGAAATTTTAATTTTTCGCCCTTTATACCATGGCGCAATAAAATAAACAAAACATGCAGGTCTTCATAAATGGGGAGGCGCTGTAAGAAATGTTAAAAAAACACGCTAGTTTAGCTCTCATTAATTATCCTAGCTGCTCATATAGCAAAAAGGAGCACTTTATTGGTAAGACTCATCCACTTTACCTTAGCACACCCAATTACCAAACGACTCACCATATATCTACTGCAGATATCTTCTAAATAAACGGAAAATCATTTCGAAGTAATCGTGAATTCCTAGCTGCTCAGTTTAACCGGCATTAAATTTATTAAGCTTTATGCAACGAATATACAATATTTGGTTCCCCAATTTTGATTTTCTTTCTTTTTTTCAGAGTTCGTGTGGGAAAATCGTGTGCTTTACATCACGTTCGGAGTAAAAATGAAAAAAAGAATGAAAGGTAGACTTTCTATTACAGGCGGAATTTTGCGCGCGAAGCGGTATTTCTCGTTGCCTGCGGGCTTTCATGCAGAACTGTAATGGAAAAAAACACAGGAAAACTCTGCTCCGCGTGCAAAATAACCATAGTTGAACTCAGGCTTGATATTTATTTCCTCGAAAAGAGACATAATTATATACAACACAATTAATGTGGTTTGTAAACTCGAACTGTTCACATGCAGATCATGTAGCTCAGTATGCCGACTTTCTGAGGATTTAAGAAATTAATTCTTTATTTTACCAAGTATCAAAGATCGATGAAAAAATAACGTTTGAACGCATTGATAATACGTGAATTGTTTCACTCAAGAATATCCTTTATTCAAAAATTCCTAAAATTTCAAGAGTATCCTTTATTTATGATATATTATGATACTAATATTCTACTATGTTTTCCAATTACAGAATACAAAGCAGCGAATTCATGAGATTTTTCAATGTGAGAGAGTAAAAGATATTCAGCTTTCCGTCATTTAAATAACATAGAATTCAATAGATGCATGATGAAGTACATACTGTGATGTATTTGATAGGTTAGGAAATGCACTCTTTGCTTAGAAAATGTCGTTTTTTGTTCGTTGTTGTTATACGTTTTATATAAACGTTAGCCAATGTATACCACATATACGTAATAGTTCACTTCAATTGAAGGCTTTTAGCAACAAAATAAAATAGTTATGAAAAAAATTGAAATTGCGTTGAAATTCAGAGTGGTCCCACTGTAGAATATGGATTGATCAGTGTCGTCATGCATATATAGTAAATAGGAATATGGTCATATTATCATAATTATTTACAAGCCATATTACTATACTTAAAAATTATAACTATTTTAATTCTTAATTCACATGCAAAAAAGGGGTTGATTACTATTTTTCCCCTTTTCCTCGGATGGCAATTATTATTGCATATTACTAAACACGTTATTCCAGGTTATTCAGAGGAACACAAGAATTGTATAAATGTGCACTCACAATAATTAAGAACACCAGACACCCCCAATGATGGAAATGGACATTTAACTAACTAAGTCTCAAAATGCTAAACATCACCTTAATACTCATAAAGAACAATCCCTGCAGATTTTGAGAGCTTTTCACCACAAGTCCTGATTATCTGGAGTGAAGGAAATAATCTCTCGTGCTTTAAGTCTGCGGTTCGGTTTTTCCCACCAAAATTATTTCATATTAAAAACGGATCCTTCAAAAAAAGGATCAAATAAAATAAGAAAACTGCAGCCACAAGATCTGGTGTTCTAGTGGCGACGACGTGAATCACAGAAGCGTAGCCAGGATTTTGGGGAAGGGGGGAAAGCAAAAACCTATAGGTGGGGGCAGTGCGACTCGAGACAAGTTTCATGCTAAACATTCTGGGCACGATTTTTTTAAGCAGTTGCCACCATAAAATTTATATTGTTATTACGTCGTGAGCCCATAAGTATCGTGCTTAATGTCGATAGCCTAATTTATACCATGTAAAAGTCGTGATCTTGGACATATCGAAAGGGTATTCATATATACATATCGAAAACCATGCACCTTACCATTTCGAGCAAAATGACAATAATTTTTTAAACGTCTTAATTTATTATCATATTTTTTGACGTTTTAGGAACATTGAAGGAGACGTGATTGACTTAAAGAACTATCCTTATCACTTTCGAATACTTTACCGAAAAACAGTAATTACTGCGGTTCAGGTACACCGTTAAATATGAATAATTGTCGCGTTAAGTTTTAACCCTTTTGCGATGTCGTTTCCAGGTGGATATTGACACGTTTCTACGACGTGCCTTCAATGTTTATGTTCAAAATTCAAACGTTGCTGACAAAGATGACTAAAATACAATGCCAAAATGTCAGAGCGTTAAAGCCACTGCGAAAACGGTTAAAATGAACGCGAAAACTATTCATATTTAACGTCTATCTGAATTGGCAGGAACGGGTAGTTAGTGGAAAATGTGGAAAAACACACCTCTGATTGAACCACTGACAATACGTTTTGGGTAGTTTTTGGGTTGGGGTCTGGTTTATTTTCGCAGTTTACTTTGTCCTTTATAAGAGTGTGGGTTTTTGGTGGATGGAGAACAGGTAAACTTCAGCCGACCCTCTCTCTTGAAACATTCTAATGAAACTACGAAATGAATTACCATTTTCCTTAAATTTAAATTTGACTTCATTGAAAAGGCAAAAGAATATTTTTCCCATTGAAATTATTATTTCATGAAACATCCTTCCAAGAAAGGATTAAGTAAAATGAAAAACTATAGACTTTCCCCGCAAGATCAGATGGTCAAATGGTGAAGAGGATGATCTGCGAAGTATACTGTCGATGGTTCAAGTCCTGGCTAAACTGAAAAAAACAAGGTAGAGAGAGAATTTGTGAGTGTGAGAGGCGTAGAGAGAGGGCGAATATGCCCTCGCCTTGGGCGAGGAGTAGACCGAGGGGGTTGTTCTTTCCCCGCCTTTCCTGGCTTTAAAAGCAAGCTTTCTTCAAACATTTAAGGGTGTTAGAAGAAAGTTCGGGATAATATGGGATAGAAAAAAGTAGGGGTAAGGAGGAGTTAATGCTGAACGGCCACTTTATCCTTTTCTCGAAGGACGTAATGAAAAAACAGCAATGTTTAAATTGGGTTCAAACAATCGAATTATCTATCATTTGCGAGATTATTGTCCTAACCACTAGGCCACGAGATAATTTGTTGAACGGCCATGTTTATTTTACTTATTTCATCCTTTTCCCAAAGGTCATGTCGAAAAATATTAGTGCTTGAAATAGTATTTTTGCGAGGACTCGAACCATTGGCTTACCACCTGGGAAGCAATTGCTTTTGCCGCCGAGATCTTCTGCTAAACAGCTAGACTTATTTAATTTACTTTATCTTTTTCTCTGAGGTTATAATGAAGGAAGTATTGCTTATATTCCAACCATCGATTTGCCACTTGGAACAACCTATCTTTACCACTTGACCAGAGACGATTTTTTTAGCGATTGACCCCGCACATGACTCCATTCATTTGGGAGGGGAAAAAGTAAAACGCCGATACTTTTTACATTTATATTTTAGCGATGTAAACTTTCTTGGTAGTTTACGTCTGGAGTTTCCTTCTAAAATGTTGACAAAATCCAAGCATGGACCCGTACCGTAAAACAAATTTAGGCACCCTCATTTAACCTTTTTTTATAATGTTAGCGTCCAGGACAATAATATTGCTATTTGCAAATATTTTTATTTCTATTTTTAGACCATAAATAATTTTAGTAGTAGTCGTAGTAGTAGTAGTGGTAGTGGTAGTAGTGGTAGTAGTGGTAGTAGTGGTAGTAGTGGTAGTAGTGGTAGTAGTGGTAGTAGTGGTAGTAGTGGTAGAAGTGGTAGTATTCGTAGTGGTAGTAGTGGTCGTAGTGGTAGTAGTGGTAGTGGTAGTAGTAGTAGTAGTAGTAGTAGTAGTAGTATTAGTAGTAGTAGTAGTAGTAGTAGTAGTGGTAGTGGTAGTAGTGTTGGGGTAGTTAGTGGTAGTGTAGTGGTAGTGGTGGTAGTGGTAGTGGTAGTGGTAGTGGTAGTGGTAGTGGTAGTGGTAGTGGTAGTGGTAGTGGTAGTGGTAGTGGTAGTAGTAGTGGTAGTAGTAGTGGTGGTAGAAGTGGTAGTGGTAGTAGTGGTAGTGGTAGTGGTAGTGGTAGTGGTAGTGGTAGTGGTAGTGGTAGTGGTAGTGGTAGTGGTAGTGGTAGTGGTAGTGGTAGTGGTAGTGGTTGGTAGTGGTAGTGGTAGTGGTAGTGGTAGTGGTAGTGGTAGTAGTGGTAGTGGTAGTGGTAGTGGTAGTGGTAGTGGTAGTGGTAGTGGTAGTGGTAGTGGTAGTGGTAGTGGTAGTGGTAGTGGTAGTGGTAGTGGTAGTGGTAGTGGTAGTAGTAGTAGTTAGTAGTAGTAGTAGTAGTAGTAGTAGTAGTAGTAGTAGTAGTGGTAGTAGTAGTAGTAGTAGTAGTAGTTGTAGTAGTAGTAGCAACAGCAGCAGCAGCAGTTGTAGTAGTCTTATATAGTCCGACCAAATCAATTCCAATTCAAGTGTGACAAAGAGGGATTCAAAACAGTTAAAAAACGTGTTGGGAAACAACACTGGCGATGTATAGAGAGAGAGTACGTTAAGTGTGGTGGTGGTCCTTCATCATCGAAACCAGACGATAAAGCTGCTGCTTTTGCTTTTATGATTCCGGCACAAATAAACAACTTAACTATAATGTGTTTGATGTGACCACATTCCCGCTATATTTGAATCATTATTTAAATCACAAAGTACAACTACTGAGCATAACTGAGTGTAGCTCAAGGGACGTATGCCTCTCCCTCACACTTCACTGAAAATCTGAGCCTCATTTGAGTGTGAGTGGTGTACATTATAGTACTATGTGAGTGTGAGTGGATACTCATTGAGGATGAGCGTCCACTCAATCAGAGTGAGTTTGAGTGAGGTTTTCGATTACAGGCGTTAGTTCTTAGTCTTGATTATAACTAAACAAACCGTATTTTGGGTAGAAATCAACCGATATGCAGCTTGACAAGATACCCTCAACTAAGCCGAAAAACTAAAGACTAATAGACTAACGTTATTATTATACAAGTATTTTTGTCATAAAAGTTCAAAATCATATGACACCCTCTACCATGACTCGGTTGTCACCCCCTGTTAGATTCGCCCTCATATTTGCGCACTATACCTTTTTTACATTGTACTACATCGTATATAACTCTTTAATTCGCTCAGCGACTAGTTTCCAAGCACTAAAAATGGGAGGAAGGATTTTACATAACGTTGAACAACAATTTCCAGAACAATTGACTAGATTTTGAATAACATAGCCGACAGTATTACTTTAACTAAACATTGTCATAAATCATAAACATAGATTTAACTTGTGCAAAAATATTTAAAGAACAAGGAAAAGCAAGAATTTTCTCCTCAATCTCCTGAAGTTAATCCAATCGAACATTTATGGGATGAATTAAAAAGAAAAAAAGTATAACATGAAGTTAAAAGCCATGAAAAGTTATGGGATGTACTTTCTGCATGCTGGAAAAACATTATATGATCAACACTTCTAAAACGTTCAGACTATTTTAAAGTTAGGGAGGACACACCAAGATCTGAAATATATCTTTTGTATAAAAGTAAAATAATATTAAACATTGTTGTGACAGAGTGATAATATCTTTCAAAATTAAAAAAAGCTTTCAATGCTACCAAATGGACTTATTTTTTGGCGCCTACTGTATGTACATCCTCTCCCATAGGCCCTGCAAAACTTGGCTAATTTTTAGTTCAGGGGGTGCTATTTCAGCCATTCTAGAAGGTTTAATTAATAATTCTTTCTTGCGCGCTGCCTAGAATGGTGGGTCCTATGCCAGTCAATCATCTCTTAGCCCCTAGGTTCAATTTCTTGGCGCTATGCCTGAAATAATTAATCGCATAATACGTCTTGGGGTAACTTCCAACATATTAAAGTCTGTTCAAATTGCACCCCAACAATATTGCTAATCTCACATGTACTCAATAATTATAATCAAAATATTCGACAAATCACATATTTAGCCTAGCCATGCTCTCTCTAAAAAGTCTACCGCTAAACACCGTCTATATGGATTGGGTTTATTGAAATAGAATATGAAAATGCATATTTTGGAAGTTATGCTATTAAATAAATCTTATTAATAACATTCGATTGGGTAAATCGGTTTTTCTTTTTTTACCTGGTCGTTTACTATCTAATCGGCTATGGCTATATGGATGGTCAAACATGAAAAGAGTTACATTCTACACAACAAAAACGTTTATTTGGACAAAATTCACAGTGAGTATCAGCGTGCCAACTTTCAAACTTGACCGGCTGGGATATGGAACACTGCAGAAATTGGTGTTTTTGAATTTTCAACCCGAAAATGCGATCTCTGGTTCACAATTGTGCATTTCTATATCGCTATCAAGATAATTCTATTGAATGAGTGAAAAAAGTTGAATTTTTCTTTTGAGTGCGCGTTCTGCAATCTTTGACAGCTCATCATGCACATCTGACTGATGTTAGATGGGCATTTTGAGGCCTAAATTATACACAGAAGCAGGGTAGAAACTAGAGCGATAATTAGGGGGATGTTTATTCATATATTCACTGCCCGACAGATTTCTTTCAATTCCTTTTTACTTTGTGCAAGCCATCGATCACTTGCGAAAGTTTTCCGTGCACGGGCGAAATTTTACGCGCAGATTGAGATCTTTCTGAAGTTTTCTAGCCGAAGCTAGTGTTCCATTCACATTCATCCATTCAATAGCTTCAAGATTTTTGTATCATAGTACTCACCCTTTTCTAAGTTAATCTTGTTCCAGCTGCTACAATGAGACAGACCAGGATGAACGGAAAGATCTGTAGGAAGACCGTTGTTAGCCCAGGGGCTTAAGCACAATGACAAACTTCCATTGCTAGCGACAACTAAATGTCTGGCATTTGAATCGTAAATCCACCTGTCGACATCGCAGTTGGAGGTGAGTACGAGTAGTTTGCCCGGTCTCTGGTTGATGCACCAGCCAGTGTTTGTCTCCTGCAGTGCGTTTTGATTCGTAAAACGAAACTGAGCACTTGGATGAATACGCGAGAATTCGAGGCGTTCAATCTTGTTATAGGTACCATAATAGCGCACGTAGCCATATGAGGAGGATGAAATGCGGTACCTTACGGTTTCACGGGAGACTGGAACGAAAATACGTTGAAATGTATGACACTTATAATCAAGCGTGCAATAATATTAATACCACATTAAGTGGAAGAATAGTAAGCTGAAGCATTTTAATAATCTAATAATAATTAATTACAAAAATAATAATTTGCCCAAATTTCCTAGAATCAGATATTTCTGGGGAGGCAATTCCCCCCCTTGGCCCAACCCCCCCCGGCCTCGTACGTCCATGGAGCAGGCGAGCGAAAAGTCGAATTGTCCCGCCTGCAGGAAATTGCTTGTAATTAGATTACTATAGCTTATTTATATTTTGAGCTCATTTATTTTTCCTGCGCTAATGATATGTGCAAATAGAATGACGTCACATGATAGTGCGTGACTTTTGATGGTTGAAATTTTGACAAACCTTCGGCCAAACTTCGACCAAAATACTAGTCAGAAAGAAAACGCGAGAGGAAGGCTGGGAAAGTGTGTTTACCGCGTCATATCAAACTTAAAAAAGGACTTTGAGAAAGTATAACCGTTAACAGATTTATGGTTTTATAAATAGAATGATACGCCTAATAAACGGGCGTGGGTATATAACTATAGCTAGAATTGAAACTGTCGAATAATGATAATCATAATTATAATTATAAATACCAGCGCTGTCGTTCTCTACAACATTTCCTAGGCAACTTGCATTGTATTTCTAAACAAGAATAAGATTAAAGATATGATCAGTGATCATATTATCATTATAATTCCAAGTATAGTGGCCTTTGTGCGAATTAAATACGACACTCCTAAACACAGCTACAAAAAATGCCTTCAGTTTCTTTGCCCGCATCATAGATTCAGCATGCACGGAGTTCCCTCTAACAAACACTTTATTTTTTTCACTACCACTACCTTTTGTGGATTCACGAGGTATGAATAATCGTAGGAAGCGTCTTTCAGCAACTGCTCTTTTGATGTATTGAAAACCACGTCGTGCAACAATTCACAGTTTGTATCGTTCTGAAATGCTGATGTCCTTTTGTGGTTGATGGATCTGCAGCATGGCTCAGTCGCACACTCCATTAGGCAATCTACCCGTTCCGAAACCATTTTTGTCGTCAAAACTGTTGTGTTTAGTTTGAACCCTGGGGAAAAATTAGCACAACAAACTCACAACGAATTACAGCATGTGCATTATAACGAATTTTGTCACATATAAAGGCTGGCCATTTTGTTTATTTTTGCAAAATCATATATAATACTGTAGACAATTATCAAAGGTAATAGAGCGAATAGGAGTGCAATTAATGCCAAAATCAACCAACTCAATTAATAAGTAATAGAACGAATTAATTCATTTGCTCTATTACTTATTAATTATATAATTATCTCAATTCTGTAAAACATAGGTGTAGAGTTTTGTTTTCTTCTGGGGGGGCTCAAACTTTAGATACATGATATCTAGCTAGCATTACCTTCTGACATTAGATACAATTAAATAGAATAAATTTCCTCTTGATATATATTTGCATCGGTAGTCATGGTTCATATGGCCGATAGTTGTGGGTAAAAAAAGTTAATGAAAGATAAAATGAACAAGCTACCATGTATTTTATGATTTTATAACTCGAAAATTAAATTATATATAATAATACCGTTTCATGTGCATGTATAAGGACGCCTTTTCAAACATTCAACATTGCCCTGATGCGATTGATGCGATTATTACTTTCTGGAAAATTTCTAGGTGTGCTCCAGCCCCTCAACCCTCCCATACCCTACGCCTATGCTGTAAAAAATACAATTCATTGAACTTCAATATAATTATTAAATTTATATCACAATTGGCAAATAGTACAATTTAGAATTAGTAAAACTTATCATAATTTAATCCGACCAAGTGGATTCTTAGCAGCGGAGAATTGGACTATAAAGAGCGTTTGGTCGCTCTGCATCTGCTGCCACTATCTTACGGCCGTGAGATTAAGGACTTGGTTCACCTGTATAAGTCCTTGTTTGGTTTTCTAAACGTAGATACTGAAAACTACGTTACGTTTGTCAACCATGGTCGCACCCGGTTAAGCCGTAAATCCCCATACATACTCCAATCTCAATCGTGCAAAACCAGTACTTTTCAATCATCCTTTTATAACCGTATTATCAAAACCTGGAACTGCCTATGTAAGGACATTAACTTTGATCTCATCACAGATCCTAACTCTTTTAAAACTTTTCTGAAAAGAAAGTACTCTTTATTAATGGACACATATGATGTCGATAGTCCCTGTTCGTGGTCTCTTGTTCGTAGTTGCTCGTGTCATAAATCCTAAATAGTGACTTACTGTATCATTTCTATTATGTTTGTGATATTGTTTTTAATGTTTAATTCTTGGCGGGTATCTTGCATGGTTCTTGCACTAGTTCCGTTTATACTTTGCCATTTAGGATCATTATCTGTTTAGTATTAATTTTGTATTCTACCGTATGTATTAATGAGTGATCCTAATAAAGTCGACAATAATAATAATAATAATAATTTGAGTTCCGGAATTCATATATATTTCGTATCCTAAATCCTAGTTGTATATAGCTACTAGAGTGATGATTTCGCAATGAGCAAGAGTTCAATAATTACAATTTAAAAGGTTACACCAAAAAATTTAAAAGGTGACCATTGACCATAACAAAAAAGATGGCTGATGTACATTTTACCAGAATGCATTGCGGTCGGACATCGTTTAAAAAAGCGAACTGACATCTTTTAAACGACAAGCGTAAAATAGGTAGTTATTTTCTTCGCTGTGTTAAAATTTCACGTCATTAGGAGTCTTTCTTGCCACCTGTTTGCTGTGAATCATTCTTAATGCCCGCAATGCATTCTGGTAAAATGTACATGCCGTCATCTTTTTCGTTACGGTCAATTGGGCCGCTATGGAGGCATGGAGCTGCTAGGAGTTGTAGATCATGAAAGTTTTCATAAGTGGCTGCGACCGATTAATATAATTGGCTGTTTGATTTTATAGTAACTGTATTTAGTTCTTTTTGGGACTTGCACGATAACGATTTAAAAACGGCTGTTTTCAATATTAGGCTAAGTTCTGTATTCGGGTCAATTGTTAGTCAAAGCTACCTTTTCATATTTTTATCATCAATAATAATAAACTCGTTTAAGAAAAATTAAAGCATTATAAAGATAAAGCTGATTTATAAGGGCCACTATAGGATACGATCGTTGTTAGGTACTGTGAAAATCATACCTTCAAGACTTGAATTGTAACAGACGGTCCGGGTTTCGCTTGTATATTCGCCATAAATGATGTCCAGAAAAGCAATTGTCTTTAAAGAGTACAGCAGAAATTTGTTCAAATGCCTGGTTGCCTAATGAAAAAATGATACCATTAAAAAGTATATAATTCTATCAAGTACATCATACATAAGCGTTTATTAAACCCGCCTTCAACTTTCGTAACAATACGGAAAGTGCCCGGTTTCATCGACTGGATAGTAAGCTTCGTCAAATGTAAATCACAGAGAGTAACGATAGTTGGGCCTGGCTTTTTCTAATTACGATTAACGACCGTACTGTATCCCACCCCTTCAATCTATGAAATTACGTCGATGATTCAACCTTCTCAGAGACTATATAGTAAAAGGAGAACTAAGCTGTGCGCAGTCGGCGGCAAATTGTTGTAATATTACTGCAAACGTTCCATTATTACTGAAATGGAGCAATATTATTGCAAGCGTTCAACATTGGATTACGCATGTGCTGTCATTATGTTCTCCCGATTTATCTTGGGATATCTAAGACTTCAAACACATCCAGAAACTAGTTTTAAGGTGCATCTTTCCAGGTATTCCGTATTGTATATATAGTTATAGCTACTGTCGAAACGACGAAACACTCACGAATAAATTAATAAATTGTCTCTAAACTGCAATATTACAGTACATATTACAAGAAAAACATGGATCTAAAACTCTTGTTCTGTGAGTACAGAACCCCTTAGTAATGCCGGAACTGAAACTAAACGTTTCTCTAATTCATTAAAAATGCCTGGTAGTAGGGCATACAATCATTTAGGAAATGGAAAGTTTACATATCATTACGTTAAAGAATTTTTAAAGTCCTTTTTACAAAACTTTGTAAATATAACAATTACCCATTATTTTTAAGATTTTCATGAATAAACATTCGATTTCATTCGGCTCGCCCTCAGTTCGTGTGTTATCTCCGATTAAACGCGGACACAAATATGTACATCGTTATCCTCAAACCAGGGACGCAGGATGCGGATGAGGGATGTGTAAATTCCATCTCACACCTTAAATCGTGGACCGCGGAGACGGGGGGGGGGGGAAATTGATATCACACTATTTTTATGAAATAATTTTGTATTCATTTTCTTTATTTTGCAATCCATGCACAACCTGCATGTAAAGAAATAGTGTAATCGGCATAAAACGAAGAAAAATGAGGCACTAATAACATTGGGGTTTGGGCAATACGATGATAATAGAACATTATTAAAATGAAGAAAATATTAATGTTGTCAAATAAAGTTTCAATGATATAGCCTGACAAGAAAATGCATTAACATCCCAATAGCAAAAATAATAATAAATATGCCTAAAAGTCAAACAAATCAGCTGCAGTATAATTATTTACCGCTTGTATTTGCTTGGAAGATTAAAAAAATAAATTGCTATATTACTGTCAAATTAATAACACTTTACACTATACCCAGTACTCTCACTTCTTTATTAAACACTAGGGGAGTTCATTGCTCAGTGAAATTCTTGGTCCATTCGAATTTTTTTTCTTGTTTTTGTATAAAAAGCAGGGCCTATTCTAAGGAGTTTCATTACTGCACAGAAGTATCGAATAGAGACCGAGGCGTCGAGGTGCCCTATCATGATATATCTGAAATACATGTCATGACTGAGATAGCCAACATGGATTGGGTAAATTATATACAGCTTCGTATACATTTTGCAACAATTTTTCAAAATCATTTTGCGGGGAGAAAAATATTTCAATACCGTTGAGCTCTGCCTTTGCTGAAAATCATGTTGATTTACATTATACATGCTCCATATAGTCATTCTTATTGGATTAATGGATTATAAAACCGATATTTTTCAAATTTCGATCTACATATTGCATAATATACTTTCCTATCAATACATCAATAATCAATATCAATATCATAATATATCAATATCAATTTCCTATCAAAAATTGGGCTATACTGAGCGCTAAAATAGGCCCTGATAAAACGTTTTTTAGTACTTTGGTGTATAAGTCATTGATTTTCTTAAAAAAATCCATACTATGCATGAAGATATGCTATAGCTACCCATACGGTTTCCACACTATATCCATAATATCGTAATCATTTAGTATGGATATCATACACACTTGCAAATTGGCATTCATACTATTTCCATAATAGATGGATTCTGAAGAAAATTTTCAGTAAACACAATTACTTCTGGGGCGCTGCAGCCCCCAAACCCATGCCTTCCTGTTTTAAACCGTGCGAGTATTTTGTTCACACTTCGACCGTGCATTTTATATTCATTAATTAATAAACACATGATCTTTTTCTCTACATCTGTAACATTAATTTTGTATTCTCATGCAGACAGTATATTTACGAAGAATGCACAAGAAATCTTACCGAGTAGCTTATTTCTCTTGTCATGACCAAAATTCGAGTTGATTCTGCTTAAAGTTCTTCGTTTGGGTATGCGTTGAAGTCATTAATATCAATGCCGTGTTTAATATTATATATAATACAATCGCATCATATATTTTTTTAATTCAAAAAGTACGCCGATTGTCAATAGAATTAAAGTCAGTTTTGATGAAATAAAAACAATGCCCCGGAAAGATTAGTATTAATATATGTATAATATTATGAAATAAGATTCAGCAGCGTTTTTAATTTTAGCTTGTTTGGAGTTTTTATTGAGAATGTGATATCTCTATTTTGGGAATGCCTCATCTGTTGCAAAACAAGTTGCCATTTTATTAAAAATGAAAATTATAATCAATGACAATGATGCATGCATGCTGTGAATGCATGCTGTGAATCAGTAGTTATGGTTATATGAAAATTCATTTACCTTGAAAACAAGATAAAAAAATTCAGGTGGCCGATCTCCTACATTTTATAATGATAGCCGACTATCTGTCAGACTGTGACAACTATTTAATTTACTTGTCATGCACAACTATTTTATATTACTATATAATATTGTTAAATTTGCTGCACATGCATGGCAAAGATAAATGAGTGTTTGGTCCTCTTAGTTTTAACTAAATGTAAGTTGAAATTATTTGCATTTCCTAAAATATGGCCTGGTTCCAGACCCGTAGCTTGACTGCTTAATTAGGGGGGGGGGGACTACATATATATCTTTTAGGTATAATAATTGACGAAGCTTGTGGTTTTTAGACCTTATACAGATTGGAACAATCTGTTACATAAATACTCATGATTATCTTTAACAGGTTTAATGTTTAACAGATTAAGAGCGTCAGGATAGTTACACCGTATCAGTTCATTCTTTAGATACTATTGCATAATCAACAATAGAGCTGATGCACAAAGTGTAGAATAATGCTAAATCTTTCAATTCCACTTGGCGCGTTTTAATTGTGATAGAAATCTTTCATTGTGAACTTTCCTAACCAACAACATCTATGTGTTAATTCCATTCCAATTTGTTGTGTATGGTAAGTCTTAAGATGTTAATGATCTCCACAACCTCCGATTCTTTATACAACTTAGGGATCCATGCAGATCAACAGGCTTTACATTAAATTTAGGAAATGCGTAGTTCTCTGTATATTTCTGAATTTAGTAGCATCTTGTTCTATTCTGCCCGGCAGGACATTTCATTCACTAAGCCTTCAGCTTTACTAATACTGCATGTCTTTCGATACTATATCAGACGTTGTAGAGCCGTCGACATTTTTGCAAAGATCCCCTCGAGATATATGTAAGTCTTTTATAAATTAACAGACAAACAGGGACCTAAATTCGTGCCCTGAGGGACAACTGATAGAACAAAGTCCGACAACGCAATTGCGTGAGTTTCCCAGCTTGATTCTTTGGAATCTGTTGGGGAGAAAGTCAATAATTCACTGTGTAGCAATGTCGGTATATCTATAAGTTTGACCGCTTAATGCCTTTCGTGACAGCCGCTCACGGTGCATAAGCCCTCACGGGCGCTTTTGGTCGCTACTGAAATTCAAATCCGACGTGTCAATGGCTTAAAGTGAAGTTGCAAGAACATCTGCAGAATCGCCAAAAGCCAGATACTGATAGTCGTCACAGATTTGGCTTTATTGCCAGTTTGCAACCTCTGTGGGCCTCTGCAGCTTATTTGCATGTGACTGTTTTCATGGGGGGATAGCCACAAGAGAGACAAAGAACTTTTAAAAACGATGCATAATTTATCTTTTAACACAAATCCCTCTCACTCTCTCTCCCTCCCTCCCTCTCTCGTTATTGTAATTTTGAAATAAATTTTCTTCAATCGTGGAAGCCTGGTTGGTTCAATACTCGGCACGCATGTGGCAACTTTTTTTAAGAGATTTCGCAATTAAGGCTGCTTTCCAGTTTCCACTGTGGAGTTTTTTGTACGTATACGTACGTACTAAAAGCTTAAAACCCTCTAAATTGTTGTGTAATTATTTTTATGCCTGAAAAAGCCGGTATCATGTAAATGATTTTAAACTTTTACGTTTGTATACGTACGCTTGTACGTACGTACAAAAAACGTGACAGTGGAAAACAGCCTTTACTCAAATTCGCACAGGAGCTGTTAATGAATGGCTTCTTTATCTTCATCTTTATTTTTATTCGTGCTCTAAAGTCTGGACGCGATATGTCTGAGCCCTTTGCCTCCCTTTCGGCCTCCCCAACCGCTACTATGCGACAAATCGTCGTCATTCTTCACTTGTCTATTTTATTTTGGCATATAAACGTCACATGCAGTAACAATGATGTGTTGTGGATCAGTCCATCTGTGGCGTGAATATAAAGAATGACATTGACCGATCTTTTTCTTTACATCTGGAGCAATTGTACATTTACCGGTGAAGAGGAACGGTATATCGTGATTGAAAATAACAAACGGGCAGTGCGTCAAAGCACTCAGTTCGAAAAACAATGTTATCGATAATGACAGTCAAATTGGTAGATTTGAATGGCGAGACATTCCTGCCCCCAGCATCGATCTTAAAAACAGATAAATCTTAATTTTCTACTTATATGAATAGAACAAAAGCACATAAGTGAAAGCTATTAATTAAGGCTTATTTTTAGAC